CCTTGGCGCAGTGGGGGCTAGAGCTGCCACTGGAATAGGGAAGCAATCTTGGAGGAGTTTAGAGGTGTTAGGAAGTGCGACTGGAACAGACCCATACAGACTTGATCACATCACCAGCCCCACTACGTCTTATGTTACACACCATTCATTTTCTTTGGCGCTTTGACACATGCGACCGTTCGTCACCTGATCTGAGCGTGTCGGATTACTACGAACTGGTGTCGGGAGTCTAGACTGACTGTAGGTGGTGGGAGGGAGACAGGGCAGGGCCGCAGGGGAGACGACGGAGAGCTCCCGAGTCCGAGAGACAGCTCCTCGGGCTCGACTTCAGCCCCCGGCGCTTGGGCAGTAGGACCGTCTATTTCGGTTAGAAGGTTGCGCTCACGAAGCTCCTAAAATAATCATCAATTTTTAGCGTACTGTTCGTATGTATGTAGTTATCCTTTAAGTCGTAACCGTTTATGAGAGGAACTAAAACAGAAAAGTTACATGTTCAGACAACACTAGCCTGTAGGTATCCCTGATCAATACGTGTGCTCTAAAAATAATATCCGAGAAGTTCATGCAACGAAATATTGCGGACATTAAAAGGCAGTTAAATACTCAAACCTGCCAATAATCTGTGCTGCCATTGATGAATATCTCAGACATAATCGACAAGTTTTAACGAACGAATGAATGAATGAATGAATGAATGAATGAATGAATGAATGAATGAATGAATGAATGAATGAATGAATGAATGAATGAATGGATGGATGGATGGATGAATGAGTGAATGCATGGATGAATGTATGCATGAATGAATGCGTGAACCGTCTGTGGATATGGAATAATTTCCAGGTGTACGTATCCATTACTCATGAGATAAATGAGTTGTAACGTTGGCCAATACCTACACAGTGACAAGCTATGAGGATGGCGTCCTTCTCGTACTTAAGAGATAAGCGATCACCGTTCCGTGCTTCTATCCTCAGGATACTGAAATCCTTCTCCTCCACGCCGCAACCCCCCTCCGGGCTGGACAGGCAACTTTATCTCATGCGGGCTGCTCCCTTGGAGCGGCACCGCTGCTCCCGAGGGAGCGCACCCCGTAGCCGGGTGCAGTGAGTACCTTGGGGCTGGTCGGCCTGTCCTTCGGGATGGGCTCAGCCCCGGTGACTCACTAGGGTGCCTGCCCAGACCAATGTCTCCCCCTAATTCCTATCATCCTTCCGGCTCTGAAATGGTCTAATTGGAGCGAAAGGGCCTAACCCAACAAAACAAAACAAATAAGAGATAAGCAATAACGAGGTTCACCGGTGGACCCAGCTAATGGAGGGGCCAAAACCGGACACTTTTTGGGCCCTCCATAATGGTTTCCGGGAGGTACCGAATACCGATCAACCCCCCCCCCTTCGCACACACACATACACAAAACTTCTGGCTGAGCTTTATCCAAGGCGGTGGCCCGATCGTAACAAATCAAGGAGCGTGAGGTGTTTGAAATCCCATCCTCTAATTGAGCGTAACAAATCATGAGGAAAGTAGGTACCTGCTTTTGTCAGGTCCAGGTCTATGAAATTCATTAAAGGTAAAATGCTCACGGCTTTGACATTCTTTGACTAATTTGCTTTGGAAATGAAGTTTTATTGAATTGCCTTGCTTTTACATGCATGTCGTTGTCAGTTGTTCGTTGTGGCACAGGTGAAAGTTTATAGGAACGAGTCCGTTTTGGAAAGGGGAGGGGGCAAATCACATTTGGGCCGCCCCTGGAATTGAATTTGGCCCGGTTGCAGCTCCCCTCCTTGGATTCGCCAGTGACGATGTTCGTTTTATTCCAAAAGAAAAATCCATAGTGATTACATCAATACATAAGTCCTCATTTACATAACCTCTCATGAAAATGAATATAAATATTTTGGTTAGACACAGATGCAGGATTCCTGCAGAAGGTGGCGGGATGAATGAAAAGGGTTAGACACAGTCAGTGAGGCGTTTTATCAAGCTGGCCTGCCCCTGATTTGGCCAGTGTGACATGGACCCTGTTTCATGGCATGCCGCTATCGCTCGCAAGCACCTTTCGCGAGCTGCCAATCATAGGCAGATCTAGAAAGGCGGTCTCGGACACTGGGGGGGGGGGGGGGGAGCATGCCCCCATAAAAGTTCCTCCAAATTACAAAACTCATCGGATTTCGGTTCCATAGGTCCTGCTTTGCAGTTTAAAGCACGCTTCTCCTAATAAAGGCCAATTTTTCCTAGGGGAGAGTGGGGTAAGATGCCCAGGGTGGGAAAGACGCCCCACCCCCTCTAGCGGCGAAACAAAGAATCGAACCTGGAAATTAATGTTCTTAGCGTGAAGCGGAAGCCTGCCTTGTTAACTGCACACAAATTTGCGAAGCTCAGTTGGGCAACGGCTGGCTGGTGATTGCATGTTTTTTATTTGCTGCTTTCAAAAAATATTTTGTTGTCAAAACATTGTAAATATCAAAGAAGGTAGATGATTTTTGCGTCCCTTGCTATAGACGTGATACATTAACATGCGTGTACTGTGTCCCAAACAGTTTGTTTCAGGGTGTAGTTTTATGGCTAACAAACTGTACTGATATAAAGTTACTTCGGTACCTTGGGGTAAGATGCCCCCTGTCCTGATGGGGAAAGACGCCCCCTAAATCCGTAGGCTGGCCTTCAAGCAGTCCGTCAAATCATTTATTACATGCTTGTGATGAGAGACAAAAGCCGATCTGGGACTATTGAGAGTCCAGTACGGTCGGGTGCTCCCCAAGCCGGTCTCTCGGCCCACGGCCCCACACAGCGACTTTTTGGGCGGCATCTGACTCCGAGAGCCCTCACGACGGCCTCTGTCGGCCCAATTATTGGCTCCAGGGCCCCTCACGACATCCTTTGAGGGCTCCCACGTTGGCTCCACGGGCCGCGCTGGCATCTGAGGTCCCCACGATGGGCTCGAGGGCCCTCAAGCATCATGAAGACCTATAAGGGCCCCACAGTGGTCTCCGAACGCTACCACGGAGGCTTGTTTGGCCGCGCTGGACTATGATGGCCCTAAAGATGACCTCTGAAGCCCCTTACGACTACTTTTGAGGGCCCTTACGATGACGTTTGGTGTCTACTGCAGGCTCGAAGGGACTACTGATTCGTTCAGGCGATTCACGTGCCCATTTATGTCACTTATAGTGCAGGGGGCATCTTCCCCAACACCAGGGGGCGTCTTTCCCACCCTGTGGGGTAAGATGCCCCCTTTCACTTCTTCAGGAAAATGCTTAATAGCAAAAAAAGTTATCATATTTCAGGCACGAAAGTGTGATATTTTTGGAGAAAAATGATGTCGGCTTCCGTTGAGACTCCAAGTTTTTGCTTTCCAATCGTCATTTTCGAATAATATATGACATAGTAAAACCCTGGGCATCTTTCCCCACTCTCCCCTACTCTAAAAAAACGACAAGCTTTCATCAATTTTGGGCGCTGCGAGGGTGGCATTTCGCCCAAATGCTCCTTTGGATCCACCAATGTGTCCAATTGGGTCAACTTAAACGGCTAATCTAATAACGTCAGCCAATATTAGCGTCCTAGTTTGTTGATGTTTCCATGGAACTCGAAAGCGCCTCTCTAGCGCTATCAGCGCATGCCGTGCAAGAGGGCCATGGAGTGATACCAAAGCTAGTTGCCTGGAATCCAGTAACCAGTTAACTGCTTAAAAACACTTGAAATCGAACGTCAGTTTAGTGGGATGACGGGATGAATAAGATTTTATCGTGAAATATTTTATGTATTACAATTGCGGAAGCTTCCTAGAGCTATATTATCCGTAGCGTTAACTGTCTCATATACCGTCCGCTAGATGGCAGTAGCGAAAGCGCCTGAAGTTATGCTGCGCCGCACAGCACGTACTTGCGTCGCGCTCCCTAGATGGCGTTAGTGGTCGACGCCTGGATTTATGCTGTGCCGCACGACTCGGAGACGCAGGTTTTGATCTATGCGGTCCTCGCGTGGAGTCGTTGTGAATACTATGAAGCAGGGCTGCGGAGTCGGAGTCGGAGTCGGTCGGAGTCGACAGTTGTGACCGGAGTCGGAGTCGGAGTCGATTTTAGAAACCCGAGCCGGAGTCGGAGTCGGAGTCACCGAAAATCTGTCGACTCCGCAGCCCTGCTAGGTCTGCGGAGTCGGAGTCGGGAGTTGGAGTCGGTCGGAGTCGACAATTCTGCCCGGAGTCGGAGTCGGAGTCGGAGCTGGTTTTTGAAAGCCGGAGTCGGAGTCGCCGAAAATCCATCGACTCCGCAGCCCTGCATGAAGTGGAGCGGATTCTAATGGAGTGGACATTCTAACCAAGCTAGCAGAGAGCGGTGGCACAAGTAGCAATACGATAGCATTGCCAACAAACTGCAATAGTTCCAAGGCAAGCAATCGAGCAATTTGAGGCCTATGTCTACGTACTTTCGTACGCTACGCTCGTTGAGAGCGAGGTCAGTTCTGAGTTCATCAAATTACCATAGTTTATTTCGATTTTCGATTTCATGCGTTTAGATGCGTAGATGAGATTTGCTGGGATATGATCGGATTGCATCTGTTTTAAAACGACGCCCGGCTTGTACCTTTGCGCCTCTTTCAAAACCAGTGTTAGTGTGTCGCATCTATAGAGAAAACTTAAACCAATCCAGTGTCCATACTAGTAGAACAAACATAATTTTTCAGCACAACGTGGTTACATATCACCAATCACCATTATCAAAAAGACTGTGGAGCACAAATAAGTTATTTGAAATAGCTGAGTTCCTTTTTGCTACGGTAACCACGAGCTCAGTTCGAATCCTTGGAATGACTGGCACTTTGGTGCCCTCTGGGTCGACAGTATCTGGTCACCGCGGCATACGGGCACTATCGGGGGTTATCTGTTGAATAAGTGTTATGAAATCATGAGGTACTACGATCGATGCGAACTGCAGCAAGTTGCGCGTGACGCTGGATTCGTTGGTTGAACACCGTCCAAACACACCAAGCCGATATCAGTCAGTGTCTTTTATGTTCAATAAATGAGATGCATGCTCGTAATAATAATGCTGTCGAATTGTCACGTCTCGTCAATGAACACCGGGGCCGGCCGCGGAGTAGCGGCCCCTGCGGCGACAACATACGAGTAGGGCTCGGCGGGCACTGCGCGCCGCCGCCGCCGCTCTCAGAGAAGGCACGTAAAACCGGCGCCTCACTGCACCCGTTCTGCGGAGCAGACGGCCGCCGCGAGCCGCCGCCCCTCCCTCCCTCCCCCATAGCATCTCCTTCGACAGATCTAAAACGGCCTCACGCCGCAACAACATCGGTAAAAATCGTACATCATCACCGTGGTAAACAATCTAAGCTAGCACGCGTCAGTGGCTATCAGGTACCGGCGGGTACGAATAGAGTCGATATATCACCCAGTGTACAGGGAGTATTCAGTCGTGGCGCCGGGGCTGGCGGACTCCTCCCGGGCCGACTGGTGCCCTCGGAGCGCCAGCTCAGCGCGGCGAGCCGAGCGGCGACGGCCGCCGGCTCCGCTCCACCAGGTCGTGGAAGGTCTGCCTGCCGATGCTGGTGTGCACCTTGGTGATGCTCTTGAAGAGCGCCTCCGAGTCGAGGTCGTCGGGCAGACCAGTGAGAAACTGCGCCAGGTTGATGAACTCCATGGAACGCAGCTGTTCGTCGTACAGGTGCAGGATCCCTGGAGGATGGCAGGGTGGACGAGCAGGGTTAGACACAGAACGTAACACAGGGTAACAGTGTGATGGCAAGTGAACACACAACTGTACAGACAACACAGTGTAAACACAGAGTGTAATCGCTGAACATAAATACCACATGTTCTCATGTTCCGCGTGGCGGAACATGCGGATTTAACAAACCGACAATGTTACATTGTAGACACAAAGAGGACACGCGGCCCTCGTTGACGAAGTGTATGACATTGCAGGCCGTTTTATAGTCCATGAAACGGGGATTACAGGCTGATCCGTCTTAAAGGATCGGCCAACATAGCGATTTGCAGAGATGATTATCTGGCCTAATCCCGGGCTAACCTGCCTTTGCAGTGACGACTGACACGTTAGCGCCAGAGTCGAACGCGAAAACGAGTGCAAAACGTAACTCTCATAGCTCACATTAGCTTAGAGATGGAAAACATTTGACACAAGTTGCATTATATTGAGCCTTCAACACACGATATAGCAACATGTCGTGAAATCGAGCCACCTTTGTGCAACGCTACGCTTGACTTTAGCGGATTGCATATCAGGCAAAAAAGAAATATTTCTGGAAATCAGGATGGGTGAAATAACCTACACATTACAAACTGACCATCAAACTCAATAACCCTTTGCCGGTCCCTTTGTCGACTTACCGAGCGCGGCACGCGCCAGGAACGCCTCGCCGTCTCGCAGGAACACGTCCCAGATACGACAGGCCACGTCCAGGGGCAGCGACTTGGAGAAGAGCGTGTAGAGCCAGTCGACCAGGTAGAGGTCGGGCGTGACGCCCTCGGCCTCCATGTGCTGCCACAGCGCCGGCAGGTTCTCCCGCAGCAGTGCCGTGTACGTGGCGTAGTAGGCGCTCATCTGGGACGCAGAAGGTGGTAATGGTGACTGGGTTTTACGGCGGCCGGATTTTCGAGGTTGTCTGCGAGACTGCGACCACCGGACTGAACAGACCGTGAGGATCTGGCTAGCGGAGGAGGAGGCGATGAGTGCGTGTTTTGAAGTGAAAGCTGACTGGGCCCATCAACCTGATCTCATTAGGGGAGCGGGATTCTTGAGATTTGAGAAGCCCTATGGCTGTTAAGTGACAACTTGAAAACCCAATGCTAGAGACCACCGCAGGCGATAAAAGCTCACTCCACATTCAGTCCACAGCTAATACCATGCGAATAATAGACTCGAACTGAATCACCGCTCCCAGAAGAACGAATTCCCAAATATCACCGTACTCCCATCAGCCAACATCTCTGCTACCGTAGAGAACTACGGAGTTCGGAAGAACAGGGAGCAACACGCCGACGCGGCGGCGCGGGGCGGAGGAAGGGCCGGTGTCGACCCCCGCCCCTTTCGGAGGCCGCCGCTGCTGTTCAGCTGCCCGGAGGGCGCCCTGTCCCTGCCGGAACGGCGGCTCGATGGCCACAACTCGCCGTATCGGCCCCTGCCGGCGCGGCGGCCAATTTCGCCGGCTCGGCCGACCGTGCCGTCAATTAAATCGCCTCTATACGGGCCCGGATGACAAAGGGAGGCGCCCCGGACCGAGCGCAGCCATGATGAGATCATACTCTGAGCCGGGACACTGGCCGTATTCACTATACTAGTAATATGTGCCAGACAGCGTGTCTCGCCGATAAACTGCCAATCTCACAGATATATTCGATAGAGGTCTGACACAAACCGATGAGCCATGTGAGCACCAGATATCACCAGAACACCAGTGGGCGAGCGCGGAGTGTGGCACATTCGTCAGATGTCTGTATAACATACGACACGTCGAATACTATCGATACTGTCATGCCATCATTCCGTCGGTTGTAATAATTCGGATAACGTGCTCCACAGCGCATCATCGTCCCACTCTAGAACTCAAACCAACTGACAAATTGTCGCTATAAATCCGGCCGAATCTCAAGTGGTTGACAGCAATGGCCAATGCAAGTTGTAAGAATTATACACGAAAATATGGCTGGCGTATAACAATATCATTATTGAGGTCAAAAGCCAGGTAAATGCTTGTTTGTTAATTGGGGCTTTAGGGCGCGCCGACTACTAGGGTCATTTTGCGCCCATCCAGGTGCCTAAATGCTAAAAATATAATCCACTTAAAATGAAAAAGGTTGATAAGTACAGAGGGGGTAAACAATTAAAAATATTTCGACAAAGAAAAAATCGGTAGGATGCACGATGCATACGGTCGGGAAGCACTCGCGCAGTACAATATTGGTTCCTGAGGGGATGACCTGATGAACGCGGCCTCTATGAGTTTGAGTGGGAAGTGCAAAGGCGGTTGAGCAGGGAAGTGAGAGGCGTATACGAAGTTTGTTGGCAACCGCACACAAAGTTGCTGGCTAGTCAATGCTCAACGGTGAAACCGCTTCGAGGGAAGTATGGGCGTACAGCCCACTCTCGCTCCCGAATCATCAAACTTCTCGGCATTTGCCGATCGGGTGGTATAGTTCATGTCCCGAGAACGGTTATGCACGCTGCGTGGACAACGGATTCGTTAACTTGTCCGTCCGAAACGTTAAAGCTTTTGTGGGAAATAGCCGCTTCTCACACGCAAAGAGCAAAATTTCAGGGAGGACAGGACTAACGCTGAGGGAGTCAATGTACAGGGTGTAACGAAATTATCCGGACATCTATTTTTTCGCCATATCTGCTCGCACAGTTTCTTTTTTAATGTCAGAAACTGGAAAATCGGATGAATGCATACCTCTGGTATCTGCTCTCAACTCAGCAGTGACCTGACCTTGCGAAATGACTCTTGCTCTGAGTAAGAGTCGAGTCGCCGACGGTTTCATATGATAGTTTTCGTTTAAGGCAGTGGAGAGAAGGGAGTACAGTCTCTCGTTTCGTAGTAAGGCTACGTGTTGGTGGCATGGTGGTATGAGCCAGAAGCTGGTCTGTCAGCAGCTGGACATCAGCAGCAGCCAGTAGCACATCTGCCTGAGGCGTAATAAGCTGCGACTTGGTGGCAGACTCAGCCCGGCCTCGATCGCAAAAGGCGCCCTTTGCCAAGTGGTGACGAGAGTTGTCAAGATAGCGACAAGGAAACGGCACCAATTAATCCGCATTGTTGAATATTCTACCGAGAGCGCTCCCGGAAATGATCACGCGAGCGAAGTGTTTCAATTGTTGTAAATATTTTGATTGAAGAAAGGTCAAGGTTTTTAGTTAGTTAGTAAGGAGGACATAAACTTCGTAACGGGGAAAATATTAAGGAAATAGCAAATGTGAAACATTAAAGAGAAATATTCATATAATGTAGGCAGTGCATATTACGATAAGGAATTGCTGGTGACCACGATTGAAACGGTAATGTTTTGCGTTAAGATACCGCCTATGAGAGTGTCACTCAAGCAATAAACCCCGTAGAAGATGTCCTTTCTTTCTCTATGACTCAAGAAGACTCCGACTACAAGAAAATATAAAGAAACTATATATTTATAATTAACAGTACCAGAAGATCCCTCCAGGGAATTAACAGTTACGAAGTTTGTTCTTGCTCATAACAAAGGAATAGTTTCATTATATTAAATACGAACGATATGACCACGTAAAATCTACCTATTCAAGCATCACAAGGTACTCAATTTTGATGTGATGCGGATGGATCAGCGCTCCTACAAGGTAATTTACGAATCTTATTCATGTAATTTTATTGCTATTCGTTTCGTGTCATGATGCTATAAGACCAGCTGCAAGATGCTGCTAAATATGAACGTCAAGGACTTGAAGCGCGAGTTAAAGGCACGAGGTTTGTCATGCCAGGGAAATAAGGAAAAGCTTAGGCTTAGATTGGCAGAGGCTCTAGAAGAACATGACACCGTAGAGCCAAATGACAGCGTATCCCAAGCAGGTACAAGAGTAACGACGTCAGAGTCTCTGACTTTGCGACAGGCAGATGAAGCTGCCGCCAGAGCTGGACTGCTGGCACGTTTGAAGGCCGTTAAGGAAAAACAAGAAATAGAAAGACAGGTTGCCGAGCTTAAACGTAAAGAGGAACTGCTAGATTTGGAAGCCAAGATAGCAGAAGTGTCCGCTAGAGAGCAGGCTATTAAATGTTTCCAGGATCAAGAAATGGCAGGTGCCGCAGTCAACGAATGTAATACCTCGCAAGGATCTCACCGTTGTCCAGTGCCGACCGCCGAGTCTGGTGTCGGTGGAGACAAGTCAACGAGCGCGGTTGTCATCGATGACCAGCCCGCCACGTCATCAAACAGGGTGAGCTTCGCCAGGGACGACGGCGCGTCAGATAACCCCGAGCCGGACAGCAGACAGCTGACCCAAGAGCGCGAGCGAACTGCCTCACTGATGCGCTTACCGATCATAGAGATGAAGAAATTCGGAGGAGACGTGACCGAGTTCGCTCAGTTCATGAAGGGTTTCCAGCTCAAGATAGCCTCAAAGCTGGATTGCGCACAAGAGAAGCTCTATTATCTTGAACAGCACATGACACCGGGCAGCAAACCGCACGCTATAGTGACAAGTTGCATGTATCTGGAGAACGGATACCAAGAGGCTATAAGAATGCTGAATAAGAGGTACGGCCAGCCTAGCCATATAGCATCAGCATTCATGGATCGTATTAACTCGTTCAGTACGATTAAGGCGAATGATGTCGAGGCGCTCGACCGATTTGCGCTGTTGCTGCTCAGCTGCAAAAATGCCCTCGGCTCTTCCTCGCACATGATGGGAGATCCCAGAACAATGCGATCTTTGACCAGCAAGCTACCGGAGACGATGCTGAACAGTTGGAGGAGACATGCTGATGACATTGAAGAGAGGCAGGGACGTGAAGTGAAGTTTGAAGACGTCGTAAAGTTTGTAGGAGATGAGGCTAGGATAGCAGCCAATCCCACCTACGGTCGTCTCATGTACAGTCGCGACAACAGCGCAGTGCTCCCCTCCCAAGGCAGAGCAGGCAGCAGCAGTGTGAGGCGCACCAGGCCCGTTGTTGCAGCCGCCCAAACCCAGAATCAGGCAGCCTGCGTGTTCTGTGACGTTATAGGGCACGTCACAGCCGACTGTGAGCAGCTTCGAGCTACTTCACCGGAGCAGAGAAAGGCGTTCGCAATGAGCAGGTCCCTGTGTTTCTCTTGCCTAAGACAAGGTCACATGAGCGCCGATTGCCGAAGACGAGCTGAGTGCAGAATATGCAAAAGACGTCATCCGACTGCGATGCATCTGGAACGCCCACAGAGAGAGAACCGAGCCCAAGGACGCCATGAACTCGCCATTCAAAGTCGTGGCCATGAAACTGGACCACCGAGAGAGACAGTTCAGCCACCACAAGAGAGGACCGGTACTACTGGTGCGACAGTGTGCGGAACTGCAGGAGCGGAAAACTCAGATCGGCCCACACTACCCCTGGTCCCAGTCATCGTCTGTAACGGCAACATAAAGATTAAGACATTCGCATTCCTCGACAGTGGGTCTACCCATTCGTTCGCTACTGAAAGCTTGATGGATCAACTCGGCGTTAAACAACAGCCCAGCAGGCACCTGACCATCACGACTGTGGCTCAGGAGGACATCAGCATTCCAACACGGGAAGTGGAAGGACTTCACATCACGGACCTGTGCGGAGATAACAGAATGGACTTACCAAAGCTCTTCAGCATGGAGAATATACCTGCCGACCCAAGCGACTACCCCAAGACAGACGATGTAAGAAGATGGGATCACCTCAGATATTTAGAGCTACCAGAGCCCGAGATAAGTGAAGTTGGATTGCTCTTGGGAGCAAATGCGTTCCTAGCCATGGAACCAGTGAGAGTGATTCCAAGTGTAGACGGAAGCCCATACGCGGTGCTGACTAGATTTGGTTGGGTGGTCAGCGGTCTTGATTCACCATCACGAAA